CCCACTGTTGGTGGGAATGCAAGTTGGTGCAGCCACTTTGGAGAACAGTGTGGAGATTCCTCAAGAAATTAAAAATAGAGCTTCCCTATGACCCTGCAATTGCACTACTGGGTATTTACCCCAAAGATACAGAGGTAATGAAAAGAAGGGCCATCTGTACCCCAATGTTCATAACAGCAATGGCCATGGCCACCAAACTGTGGAAAGAGCCAAGATGCCCTTCAACGGACAAACAGATAAGGAAGATGTGGTCCATATATAGGATGGAGTATTATGCCTCCATCAGAAAGGATGAATACCCAACTTTTGTAGTAACATGGACGGGACTGGAAGAGATTATGCTGAGTGAAATAAGTCAAGCAGAGAGAGCCAATTATCATATGGTTTAATTTATTTGTGGAGCATAGGAAATAACATGGAGGACATGGAGAGATGAAGAGGAGGAGGGAGTTGGGGGAAATTGGAGGGAGAGACGAACCATGAAAGACTATGGACTCTGAAAAACAATCTGAGGGTTTCGAAGGGGCGGGGGGTGGGAGGTTGAGTGAGCCTGGTGGTGGGTATTATGGAGGGCACATATTGCATGGAGCACTGGGTGTGGTACATAAACAATGAATTCTGGTACACTGAAAAGAAATTTTAAAAAAATAAAAAATTTAAAAAAAAAAGATCTAACAATTTTAAATATCTATGCCCCTAATGTGGGAGCAGCCAACTATATAAACCAATTAATAACAAAATCAGAGAAACACATCAACAATAATACAATAATAGTAGAGGACTTTAACATCCCCCTCACTGAAAAAAAAAAAAAAGAAAATATAGGTGGCTCTAGGCAGTATAGACATTTTAACAATATTTATCCTTCCGATTCATGAGCAGGGAATGCTCTTCCATCTTTTTGTGTCTTCTTCAATTTCTTTCATGACTATTCTGCAGTTCCTTGAGTATAGATCCTTTACCTCTTTGTTGGGCTTTATTCCCAGATATCTTATGGTTCTTAGTGCTATAGTAAATGGAATCGATTCTCTAATTTCCCTTTCTATATTTTTATTGTTAGAGTATAAGAAAGCAACTGATCTCTATACATTGACTTTCTATCCTGTCACATTACTGAATTGCTGTATGAGTTCTAGTAGTTTGGGGGTGGAGTCTTTTGGGTTTTCCATATAAAGTATCATGTCATCTGTGAAGAGAGAGAGTTTGACTTCTTCATTGTCAATTTGAATACATTTTATTTCTTTTTGTTGCCTGATTGCTGTTGCTAGGGCTTCTAGTACTATGTTGAACAACAGTGATGAGAGCGGACATCCTTGTCCTGTTCCTGATCTCAAAGGGAAGGCTCTCAGCCTTTCCCCATTGAGGATGATATTCACTGTGGGTTTTTCATAGATACATTTTATGAAGTTGAGGAATGTTCCCTCTATCCCTATACTTTGAAGCATTTTAATCAGGAACGGATGCTGTATTTTGTCAAATGCTTTTTCTGCATCAATTGAGAGGACCATGTGGTTCTTCTCTCTTCTTTTATTGATTGTTCTATCACATTAATTATTTGTGAGTGTTGAACCACACTTGCATCCCATGGATAAATCCCACCTGGTCATGGTGGATAATCTTTTTAATGTACTGTTGGATCATATTGGCTAGGATCTTGTTGAGAATCTTGCCATCCATATTCATCAGGGATATTGGTCTGAAATTCACCTTCATTGTTTGAACCAATCTATAGATAGACTTGCCTTAATAGATAGGCCAGGCTGAAAATGTGCAAGTCTATAAAGAACCAGCTTATGACTAGTCAGTAATGTGTAATTCCATGAATGTTTTGATGCCCTGTAACAAGAAATTTCTTTGAAATTATTTTCTCCTCCATCAGCTATAATTTGTACATAAGGAATGACCTTTGGCTTATATGGTAGTATTTTCCCCTGATAAATAAGTAACAAGTATTTTTGATATGAATATGTGCTCAGCCTGCTGTATCTATTATAAAAAAAAAAAAGAAAAATACTTCACTAAGGGAAAAAAATTCAAGACAGGTGAAAACTATGTTTCTAAGTACCTTGCTGGTAGCTTCATAACAATTAGTTGTGGAATAAAAGTATCCAATACAGCTCGTCTGTTTTTCCTCCACAAGCATATTCTCAACAGCACTTAAAGTTTGGAAGCTTGTACTATTTCCAGCCTTTCTTATTCTGTTGCCCACTGACAGGAAAGGGCACCAACATTTATCAGATGTCATCAACCTAGAGGTTGATGCTCTTAGAGGAGGCTGTGCTCTTAGAGCACATATGCCTTTCATAAGAGCATGCACTAAGGATTAAAAATGCCCATTTTTAGACACGGAAACCAAGGATCAGAAAAGTTTATATAAGCTGCCTAGTAAGCTGAACAAAGAAATCATTTAGCCCCAAAGGTACCTTTTTAGGATAGCTCAGGCCTATTCATATTCATAGAAGAAATGGAAGGAGCAGTGGAGGGATGAGAAGAGAGAGGAGGTGAGGGAGGAGGAGAGGAGAGGAGGAAAAGATAACGAGGATATCTACCAAAACACTGATGGTGACCATCTCTGGGTAATGTCTTATAGGTGGATTTACACATGCACATGTGTGTGTGATGTGTAGTGCCCACCTTTGTTTTCCTAGATTCAGAATTTTAAAATAAATATGTATTTGGGGAGAAAGGTGTTTTACCATATACTCCAAAATGGAGACACCGCTACTTTTGTGTAAAAAAAAAAAAAAAAAAAAAAAAAATTAGTAACAATTTTTAAATCATATGAAAAACTTCTGGTCATATTTACTTATGTGTTTATTCTAACAAGTTGAAGTTTTTCAAAAATAAGGAGCATTCATAAATTAGTTGGGCTGTTGTTAATGATGATTCAGGCAACAAAAGCAAGCAAGCACTACAATCACTCTATTATGCTGGTTGATATCTTAATTGGACTAGAAAGTGCTTGTCAAATTTCAACTAAAATAAGTATGCTTTTCTAGAGTGCCTCCTGAGTTAAAATTGTGGCACATTAGGGGGAAGATAGGCTATTTTTTAGTAAGCCCCACCACAACTTCATATTTATTAGCTGATTGGAAAATTGGCTCAATCATATTTTTATTATCTAATAACAGAAATGAAAGGTCTCCTATTCAGATTCAAGGTCTCAGAATTCAAGATCTCCTTTATACCTAGTTTTATTAACTAGACTATCAGAATGTGACAAAATGAAAGACAATGTTTATTTTTCCTAGGAACTTTGAAACTGTTGTTTTTGTTAGACATAGAAAAGTAGGGGTACAACAATAACTACTTCCTGATGAGCTCCTGAATTTTTTGGTTCTTGGAGACTAATTTTGAATACTTATTGTTGTCAAACTGTTTTTCATATTTAGTTTTCATAGTTAGTTTTCTCTTAGTGCAAAAAGTGGATATGTTGCAACATCATGAATGACAGATTATTTGGGAAACAAAAGAGAAGCTTATTATAAATTACGGCAGCTTTCACTCGATAAGGGATGGGGTCAGAGCTCATAAAACCGGGAAAAGAATGGAGCACACATAGGTTTATGTTTCAGATTCCAGAACACTGTCATCCCTTGGAATCTGAAATAGAGGGAGTTAGGGGGAAAAAAAAAAAAGGAAATCCTACTTTGCATCACTGACCAAAAACTAAGCCATTCTACTCTACGCACAGCATATATTTCACACCTAGCAGAGATAAAAAAGTGAAAGAAGGCAATCTCTGTATGGAAGGTTAGGAAAAGTTTGAGGAACCTATCAAATAAATCATGTTGTGTGTATATGTCCCAGAACCTGGATTCCGAATTTTCCATAGATTTTCTAATTTAATTCTCACAGTAACACTTTAAATATATATTATCTTCACTCTTCATTTAAAGACAGACACCAGAGGCTGACAGAAGTTTGGTCACTTAGGGGTGCCTTGGTGGCACAGTCAGTTAGGCATCTTACTTCTGGTTTCAGCTCAGGTCATGATCTCAGGGTTGTGTGATTGAGCCTTGCATAGGGCTTCACACCCAGCATGGAGCCTACACAAGAGTCTCTCCCTCTCCGTCTGCCTACCTCCCTGGCTCACACACTCTAAAAAATCACTCTCATGCTCTCTCTCTCAAATAAATGAAATCTTTTTTTTTAAAGAGGAAGTTTGGTCACTTATTCAAGATCATGTCACAAGTAAGCATGGGAAATAAGAAACTCAGGTTCATCTGTCTCCCGAGCTAAGGTCTTATAAAACAGCACCTATGCCAAGGATGTCATACAGGGTGATGAGAAGGAATAGAAGCCTTGCCCAGATGGACACAGGCTGCTGTACAAGGCTAAGCATGAAATGATTTACCTTAAGTTGTATTTTGTCTCACATTTCTACAGCTCAATTACCACACAGACTGGAATGATATAACATGGTTGCCTTTGAAAGATCTGGATGATGGATTAAAAATAACTGATTTTGAGTTCTAGCTTAGTTACTTTAAAGCCAGATAACCTTAACTAATCAATTAATTACATGAGACAAAGTTTCATTTCTAAAACAGAAAAAATAATCATTTCTGCCATATATGTCTCAAAATTATGCAATTATAGTGAAAAGACTAAACCATAGAACTCTACGAAGATGAACAGATAACATGGAATAAGGTGATATTCCATAATAAAAACAAGTTCAGGTTTGTTCCACTTACAGAAATAAAGTCATTTCTGTTTCCTGCTTTACCACTCATTACACACTTTCACCTTCTTACTGAGTGAAGAGCTTTCTCATGGCATTTTTTACATCTTCATTTCTCAGGGTATAAATGACTGGATTCAACATAGGTGTCAGGAGACCATAAAATACTGCTATGTTTTTGTCTATGGACAAAGTAAATGATGGCCGCATATAAGTAAATATACAAGGCACAAAGAACAGGGCAACAACAGTGAAGTGGGCCCCACAGGTAGACAGGGCTTTGCGTCTCCCCTCTGCACCATGGCACCTCAAGGAATACAGGATGACAATGTAGGAGGCAGCCAGCATGAGGAAGTTCAACAGGCAGATCACACCACTGTTGGCGACCACCAGCACACCAATGACATAAGTGTCCGTACAGGCGAGTTCTAGCAACGGGTACAAGTCACAGACAAAGTGATCAATCACGTTAGGGCCACAGAAGGGCAGCTGAAGGACCAAGAGGAGCTGAACCAGTGAATGCAGGAAGCCTCCCAGCCAAGCCACTCCCACCAGCAGGGCACAGAGATGCCTGGTCATGATGGTCATGTAGTACAGGGGCTTGCAGATGGCCACATAGCGGTCATAGGCCATGACTGTGAGCAGGATGATCTCAACACCTCCCAAAAAATGGGCTCCAAAGAGCTGAGCCAGGCAGCCCTCAAAAGAGATGGCTCTCCCCTCACACAACGAGTCAGCAATGAGTTTAGGGGCCATAGAGGAAGAATAACAGGTGTCAATAAAGGATAGGTTGGCCAGGAAAAAATACATGGGGGAAGCCAGTGTGGGACTGAAGGTAACGGTGACCACAATGAGCATGTTGCCACACACCGTGACCACATAGATGATCAAAAAAAACACAAAGAGGACCCTCTGTATCTGTGCATTCTGTGAGAGTCCCAGCATGAAAAATTCTGTGATATTGTGCGGCATTTCCACAGAGTCCAAGGAGGAGAATGCACGTATGCTCCTGCCTATAAAGTCAAGAGAGAAACATAATTTTAACAGAATTACAAGTGGAAAGAGGTGTTGCGAGGTTTTCTTGGGATGCCCCCACTTCCCTTTGTCTCTCCTAACACTTTCTGTTCCAAAATTCTTGGACCAATTCACTTTGTTAATCTCTAAATGTGAGCATGTCTCTTGTTAACTTTAGCATCAATGGGCAGTAGGTACCTAAGTTATTACATGAAAATAATAATTGAATTATCTGAATTTTAAATTAGTTTTGTTACTACAGAAATAACATTTGGCAGACCTTGATTTTCTAATTCAGCTAGTAATTTTCTAATTCATCTGACAATTTACAGGAGGTTTCCACATAGATACAATGGCACTCGAGAAAACCAAGTATATTAGGATCTCCTGAAATCTCTGCACATAGAGTCCACACCCTTTGAATTAAATCTTTCTTCTTAAACTTTTCAGTGAGGTTTGTTATGCTTTCTGTCAGTGTTTCTGATGGCAGCGCAAACTGATGTAAAACAAACTGAAGCAAAACTTTCACAGTCTTGCTTCAGAACTCACAGAACTGACAGAACTCAAAAGCTGACTAACGGCAAATGGAGACCTCCCCAACTTCCCATTTCTCTCCCCGCCCATCTCCTCCCACTCTGAACCCATGGCAGAGGCAAAATAATGTCCAGGACATTATAGCAATCATTCTAGCTAAAAGCTACTAGTCCCTCTGCATTTATGGGAAGGACTCAAAGTACAAGTTCAGTGATCACCCATGAAAGATCCTATTAAGTAATGAGTATCTGCCTATTCATTAAAGGAAGCTACCAGGCAAGGAAGGGAGAGCAGATACCCCATCATAACCAGCTATAAATTCACCTGGCAGAATATTCCTACTCACCTTTTATTCTCCGAATGATAGTAAGGAAATTCTTGTGCCTATCTCAGTTTTAAACAAAAAACTGACACTAACCCCACGCACCACCAACCTATGGTTTTCCTGGAAATATAGGTCTCTTTAAAGTAGCTGAATCTTCCAAACTGCTGAAGATCTGATGCTCTGTATAATAAGAATTAAGGTAGAATCATTAGGTGTCAGAGGAAGAGACACCCAGATATAAGAAACGCTGGGGAGAAGATTTCTGTGTTCATCAAGAAGCTGCCTGCTTTTTCTCTCTCTCAGTTTTAGTTCAAGAAGGCAAATGTAGCTTCTGCAAGTGGCATGTCTGACGGGAGCCTTTTCAGAGCAGAACATTATGGCCAAGAGGACAGACAGTGGTGATAAGTGCAAACACCTGGGTAGTATGTAGTTTTTGCCAAGCACTACCTTAACTGCTTTATGTGTATCAGCTCGTTTAAGCCTCTTGTTATCCCCATGAGGTAGATCGCTGTTTTCAACCTCCTTTTGCAGAGCAAGAAAGTGAGACACACATTAGCAACTCACAGAAGCATACTCAGCTAGTAAGTGGCAGAGCTGGGGCTTGCAGCCAGGGAATCTTGTTACAAATTCTGTGGGCTTCCTGGCACTACACTTTCACTTAAACTAATCCGGGTTTGACTCCTTGCTCTGCCAGTTGTTGGCCATTTAACTGAGAACAACTTCTCAAAGCTTCAATGTTCTTTTCTATAAAAAATGAAAAATAAAAGAACTGCTACACCCTGTGGTTGCAGAGAGCAATAGATGAGAACAGGGCATGCTGAGTGTTCTATGGAGCCTGGATAGGATAAAAATCCAATAAATGGCTTCTCTGAAATCACTATCATCAACTCTGTGGGCGACAAACTCTTCATGTAACTTAAGGACTCAAGGGCCTAAGTGGATGAATTCAAAACTAACTTAGTTATATTAGGCATAACTAATTATATTCAAAACTATAATATTATAAATACAAAAAACGCCCTAATACTGATCCTCATAAAGAACACAGAGAAAATGCAAACAGATATGAATAGCACAGAATTGATCCAAATAATGAATTTATATGCCCCAAAATTAAAATGTTAAGCTGTTGGAGGCTATGGCATGGTTGGAGTCGTGGATCAAACCAGGCCCTGACTTGTGTCTCCTTTAAAGTCTGGACGCCTTGATAAGGGGTTAAGGACAGGAAAGTTGAGTAACACTGAGGAAGGGTCTGTGCTATGTGTCATGCACTCGCCTACGTGACTTCCCACACGCTCTCCCTACAGAAGGGAACAATGTGGTCAGGGTCATGAATTCTTAGTTGGTCCTTGTTGTTCCTGCACCTCCCATAACCCACTCCCTGGTTGATTGTCTTGCTAATGGCTTTAGCCAAGACTACCTGGCATCACGAGGCTTGCTCGTAGTTAACGTAAACTTGTTATAGAAACTTGCGGTCATCTGACTAGGTACTGATGTATTACTCCTTCTATTGTGGTCTGCCTTATAAATGCTTGTAAGATGTGGAATAAAATCGGCACTGTTGGACATCATCCTCAGTGTTCCTCCTGCCCCCATCTCTTTGTCTCTTAATTTCTTTTCACCATCCTCTTATCCTCACATTCCTGGTCAATTTGTCGCGCCGGCCGAGACATTAAGCTGATTCATCTCTGTGATCTATTAAGTACATTATTTATTAAAAGCTAGCCAGAAGAAAAAGAAGTCATCATCTCCTCCTTGAGTTACCCATGAGAAACAAAATTATGTTGTGGAAAGTAATGAGTATTTTAGTAAAATTATTCTACTGAAGTTTTGAGTTGCATTTTTCTTTTTTTTTTTTTAAGATAGATTTATTTATTTATTTATTTGACACCAAGAGAGCACAAGTAGGCAGAGCACAGGCAGAGGGAGAGGGAGAAGCAGGCTCCCTGGAGCAGAGAGCCCAAAGCAGGCTCGATGCCAGGACCCTGGGATCATGACCTGAGTCAAAGACAGCCACTTAAAAAAAAAAAAGACAGCTACTTAACTGACTGAGCCACCCAGGCACCTCTTCTTTTATTTAATTTTAAAAACAGATTATGAAAAACTTACATTGACTGGATCTGAGGACAAGTCTCCAGGTTTTGTGTTGTGCTTTGTTTTTACACCCTAACACCATGGAAAAGTGGATGTGGAAGAGTTCTTAGAGGATCATCAGACCAGCTCCAAGCATATCATCCCAAATTTCACTGTTCACATGATTAAACTCCTGGATGAGGTTAGAATTGTTTTATCCATTGAGATAAAGCACAGACTGGGCAGTTGCTATTGATTACCAAAACTCATCTGAGCTGAAGGTTTCTTAGACTATTACAAGGTGAGAACCCAAAAGATGGTCATTCATTTACAAGCAGCTGGGAATTTGTTCTGTCATCCATTTCCCCTTTATCTGTTTAAGAACCTGATGGCATTTACAATCATTTTTTTTTCAATTATCAATTCTAAAGATGGTGGATCTCAGACTAAGAGAGACTAGATGCACAGATTCAAGGTCACATGAGTGACCCATAGCAGAGGGGCAGCTGGAACTCAGATTGGTACCCCAACATAAGCCCTTTCCAATGCAACTACCACCTTCTATTACTTGCCTTCTCTAGAGGAAGGAGCAGGATCATTAGCTCTGCTTTCTGCTAAGGATATTCACCAGCACAGTCTCAGGAAAAAGCTTTCTCCTTCCACAGGACAGGGTTTTTATAAGGGAGTTGGGAGTGATAGCACAGGGACTGTCAGTGCCATATGGCTTCTGCCTTTCCAAGGGAGAATAATTCTCCCTCACAGGATCACTTGCAGAAGCAGTGTAGAGCTTGTGCCTCCTTCATGTATCAGAACAATGTTAGCGCCATCATTTAATTAGTCCCCTGAATAGAATTTTGGTCTCAAAAGGAAGTGACTTCTCCTGTACCTCTTAGAAGTGCCCGATGTCCTTCTGGTATCTTGAGAGAAAAAGTATAAATCATCAAGAGAAAAGGGGAATTAGGATATTTAAAGAACTCATACTGGAGGGTCAGTGTCCTTAGAAAAATTGCTGACTGAAGAACATCAGGAAGAATCAACAACATTTACTGAACATCTTCTATGTTTTAGGCACAGGTCTTTCATCTTCCCCCTTAAAGCTGAGAAAAGAGGATCACTGTCCTTTAAGCAGGAGGGGCAGAGGGAGAGAATCTCATGCAGGTCCCACACTGAGGACCCAGCTTGATGCAGAGCTCAATCTCAGGACCCCAAGACCATGACTCAAGCTGAAATCAAGAGTCGGACACTTAACCTACTGAGCCACCAGGCACCCCACTATTCTTCATTTTAGTTCAAGAACTCCCTAAGTCTTGTTTCTTAGAACTGCAATGCAGTTCACAAGCTTCTTTCTTCCTTTTCTCAGGTCCCCATTACAGAGTGGGGATCTGTGCCATTCTGGATGGTTCCTCCCACCTTCCCTCACCAGTGTTTCCCCAGTAAATCTCTTGCACATCTACTCTGTCTTACCTTCTGCTTCTCAGAACTAGGACTGATCTAGAAAATACAAAGAACTCTTACAAATCTCAGGGCACCTGGGTGGCTCAGTCAGCTAAGCGGCTGCCTTCAGCTCAGGTCATGATCCCAGGGTCCTGGGATTGAGCCCCTCAGGCTCCCTGCTCAGCGGAAAGCCTACTTCTCCCTCTTTCTCCTTTTGCCTGCACTCAGCCTACTTGTGTTCTCTCCCCCTCTCTCTGTCAAATAAATAAATAAAATCATTTAAAAAAGAACTCTTAGGGGCACCTGGGTGGCTCAGTGGGTTAAAGCCTCTGCCTTCGACTCAGCTCATGGTCTCAGGGTCCTGGGATCGAGCCCTGAGTCAGGCTCTCTGCTCAGCGGGGAGCCTGCTTCCCTTCCTCTCTCTCTCTGCCTGCCTCTCTGCCTACTTGTGATCTCTGTCTGTCAAATAAATAAAATCTTTAAAAAAAAAAAAAAAGAACTCTTACAAATCAATAAGATAAAACAACCACATGAGATTGGAACAACACTTCAGCAAAGAAGATGACCAATGGCCCGTAAACATCTAAGGGGGTAAGACTCATCTGAAAATAAGATATGGGACCACAACAAAATACCACTGCAAGGCTTCCCCTACGTGCCTAAAACTAAAAGGATGGTCAATACCAAGTGTTTATTTTCAATATAGAGGAATGGTATCTCTCTATGCTGCTTGTACAAATGTATAAATGTTTTCTAAGTATACACAGGATATATATAAATATACTTATAACCAATGACCCAGAAACACTATACCTAGGTATAAACCTAGAGAAAGATATGCATCTTACATGGAAAGATACATCACCAAGACTCTTAACAGAGCCATTTGTAATACCATTAAACTGGTAACTTGAATATCCATAATTAACAGAATGGGTAAAAAGTTTTGGTATATTTATACAACCGACTAACAGAATGAAAACAAGTGAATGACAGATATCACAACATGAATGAATCTCACAAACACAATATGAGCCAAAGAATCCAGAGTTAGTCAATGATTGCATATAAGATTGCATCATTTAAAATGTAAAATAAGCCAACCTAGGGATGTGTACATAGGTGGTAAATATACAAGTATTAAGAAAAGCAAAAAAGTTTTATCACAAAAGTCACCTTAGTGTTGACCTTTAAGGGAAGAGAAAGACATATGAATGGAAAGATATAAGAGATCCTGGGAGGGCTAGAAATCTACTTCTTGAACTCCTTTGTGGTTTTATGGATGTCCCACTTTATGAATCAAGATTTTTGTCTTGATTTTTTAATTATCTGATTAGGTTGTGTCTTGGGTGGATTTCTTTAAGTTCATCCAGTTTGAGATTTACTGAGCTTCCCAAACCTCTAAGTTTATATATTTCACCAAATTTGAGAAGTTTTCAGCCATTATTTTTTTAACATTTTTTTCTGAGCCACATTCTTTCTCCTCCTTTTTCTGAGACTCTAATTACATAAATATTGGACATTTTGGTATTGTCCCACAAGTCTCTAATACCCTGTCCAGTATTTGTAAATTTTTCCTCTCTGTGGATAATTTCTACTGATAGAGCTATTGATCTACCTGACTGGATAATTTCTGTTGATCTATCTTCAAGTTCACCTTTCTTTTATATTCTTACTATACCACTGAGCCCAGCCAGTGAATTCTTTATTTTGGCCATTGAATCTTTCAGTTTTCAATTTTCAATTTCATTCTTTTTTATAATCTCTATTGCTTTGCTGACACTTTCTACCTTTCCATTTGTTTCAAATACATTCACCTTTACTATAGGATCATGATTATAATGGTTGCTTTAAAGTCTTTGTCTGAAAATTCCACCATCTTTGTCATTGAGTCTGCTGGGATTTTTTTTTTCCACTTGCAGGTTGAGATTTCCTCCTTGGCTGTATGTTGAGTATTGTCGGATTGTATCTTGGATATTTTGAATATTATGTAATGATACCTGATCTTTTTAAAATTGAGAATGTTGAACTTTTAATTTTAGCAGGCAATTAATCTTGCTAGTTTCAGGTTGCAGTTTCCAACCCATCTTCTGTGGGCTGTGATCCCAAAGTCAGTTCAGTTAGCAAATCTTCCAGAGTGTTCTTCTGCTCTTTCTCAAAGGTAGGCCACCCTGTGTCCAGTCTAGGACTTGAGTAGTGGTCTATCCTATAATGCCATTCTCAAAGACCATGGAATGCTATTTGAGTTCAGATTCACACATTTCACTGCTCTGAGGCAGAGAGGCAAAAATCTTAAGAAAGACACTCTGAGTTGGGTGTTCTGGAATGGGACACTGCCCCACTCTTATTGGGTGAGGGATAAAATAACTAATAAAAGTTCCTAAAACATGACTTGCCAGAGCCTTCTTATTTTAAAACACCTCCAGGAGCTAAAAGAATTGCAGTCACTGTCAGGATAGCTTTGAGAGCTGAAATAAAATACTTTAACACAATATACTGAGAGAATCATACAGTTTTTCTCCTTTGGCCTATTAAAAGGAAAATCCATTATGTTAATGAGCTTTCTAATTTTAATTCCCAGGAACTAGGTCTTTTTTTGAAGATAGGATTTGAGTGTGATTCTATTCAGTGTGATGCCTGTAGAATCTAAAACGTCATCTGGGATGCTATTTTTTATCAAAGAACCAGCTTGAGTTTATGAGTTCCAGTAAATTCTGTTCATAATGTCTCTTTGTTGTTTGGGGGAAATCATGTATGTTTATTGTACATTAAAAACAAACACCTAAAAATACATGGGTAAAAGTTCAAAGTAAAATAGAATCAAACCACAAAATTAAGTACTGTTGCCATTTTGATAAACTTACTTCAAAATACACATCCCTATCCAGACCTGCATGGGCAGATTACAAGGTACAAAATTTTACATCACCAGGCCATGTGTTGTTTCATAACCTGACTTTTAAGTTCTGTCTCAAGTTGTAAACACTTTCTATGACAACAAATATAGACAAATGCCACCAGTTTAAACCAATGAACATAATCTGTGTATATGGAACATAACATTGTAGCTACTGGCATTAGATATGAAACAGTGAAATTAAGAGCTATGGAAACCAGGAAAAATACTTAAAAATATTGCATAGGAAATGTTATCACAACTAGTGAGTTGTTGTTTTTTTTTTACTTTTGTCTATAGACTTCTTCCTGCCAAAGAAACTTTTACAAAATTCTTTTCACTGTATTATCAATAAAATATAGCCCTCCAGCAGAATACCTGGGACAGTGACCAGAGAACTCAAAAGGTTCAAGTTACAATAAGACATACAAATGGAAAGCAAAGACTTTCCACAGTAACGAGTGACCAGGAGCAAGCATTTTACCAAGTGGATTAGAGAGAATCACAGCCTCCTGGATGTTATACTGAATAGTGACTCTGGACTTGAAATAAATCTGGGCAAGGGCATATCAGAGATTACAATAAGATTGATAACAGGAAGTTTACCAGCAGGAAACACAAAATAATACATTCAGAAGAAGATCTGTGGATAGTAAAGCACTATGCATTTTGGCAAGATCATAATTGAAGGCAGACAGAAAGATCTGGATTTAAATTCCAGCTCAAACTTGGCTAAGTAAATCAACCTCTATGAATACATTTTCTTCATTTTTAAAAAGAAAACCATGTCAACTTCTTATGAGGACAATATGAGACCCCATTTGTAAACTGATGTACCAAGTCAATGTTCAATAGTTTCTGTGTATGTGTATGTGTGTGGTCACGTGGACATAATGTTTAGACATTAATTGCAGAATTTCATAACATATGATAGTTATATTAAGTTTAGTATAAACCTATTCTGTGCATTTTCATGATCTGAGTTCAGCAATCCCTAATTTTATTTGCTGTATTCTCAGAGTCCCAAGCTGTAGATTCTTTCCAATATTACTGTTCCAAAACCAACTTGTCCCTCCACAGACAGCGACAATGCCCAAAAAGCCTCTGCCTTGGTTCTTCCCTAGGGTCAAGGGAACAAAGAGGGATGCCTGCAAAAAGGACATTCAACTGTTGGTATCCAGGTTGCATCTTCAAAACTGTTCATGGCAGGAAAGCCTTGGATCACCATCTAAGAATCCACATGGAAGATGAAGAGGAAGTGTAGATTATGCTGTGAGGACAATGTCCATCTCAGGGCAACCGGAGACTGCTGAGTCCCTCCCAATGTTCCCCAGACCCAGTCACTCTCTGTGCCTTGTGCTCTTCTGTCCAAGACCCAGCCAGAGCAGCAATCTCTGTCTGAAACATGCCAATAAAGGTAGTCTTGACTTTTCTCTGCTGTGGATTCCTGGCAATTTTGTGAAGCTGATGGACTCTTCCCAGAATGTTTTTAAGTGTAATAAGATCACATTAAACTATATTTCAGTAAAATCTTGAAAAAAAATTGTAGACAGAATCAGGTATAAGCAAACCATCAGTAACTACTCTGATCAATATTCTGATGTGCAGATTTGGAGGACCAGATTAGTAACATTTCAATATGGGGATTCTATTCATCATTAGTACCCCAGGCTAATGAAGGATCCATCTCAGACAAAGGTGAGGGAGGGAGAGATGGTGCTTTCATGTCCTACAATTTAGTATAAACTGTTAAGAAGAAATTTAAGTTGCATATAATAATTTGTCTGGTCAGTAACATAGGATATGAATAGATTAGACATAATTTTAAACATTCAAATCAGTTTTATTCTGAAAATTTTTATAGTCTCGCAGCTCTCATCATGAGAACATGAATTCTTATTGAGAATGACTGGTTATTTCTTTCCCTGTTGTACCTGTATCCTCTATCCACAACTGCTCATTTTTTCCATAGATTTTTCATGGCATTTTTTACCTCTGCATTTCTCAGTGTATAAATCAGGGGGTTGAACATGGGTGTCAAAATATAATAAAACACAGCCACTATTTTGTCTATGGACAAAGTAGACAATGGCCGCATATAAATAAATATGCAAGGCACAAAGAACAGGGCAACAACAGTGAAGTGGGCCCCACAGGTAGACAGGGCTTTGCGTCTCCCCTCTGCACCATGGCACCTCAAGGAATGCAGGATGACAATGTAGGAGGCAGCCAGCATGAGGAAGTTCAAGAGGCAGATCACACCACTGTTGGCGACCACCAGCACACCGATGACGTGTCTGTACAGGCGAGTTCCAGCAACGGGTACAAGTCACAGACAAAGTGATCGATCACATTAGGGCCACAGAAGGGCAGCTGAAGGACCAGGAGCTGAACCAGTGAATGCAGGAAGCCTCCCAGCCAAGCCACTCCCACCAGCAGGGCACAGAGATGCCTGGTCATGATGGTCATGTAGTGCAGGGGTTTGCAGATGGCTACATAACGGTCATAGGCCATGACTGTGAGCAGGATGATTTCAGTTCCTCCCAGTAAATGGGCAACAAAGAATTGAGCTAGGCAACCCTCAAAAAAGATGGCTCTCCCCTCATACAAGGAGTCAGCAATGAGTTTTGGGGTCATACATGAGGAATAACAAGATTCAATAAAAGACAAGCATGAGAGAAAAAAGTACATAGGGGAGCCCAAGGTGGGACTAATGATAATGGTGGTCATGATAAGTAGGTTGCCTCCAACAGAGACAAGGTAGACAATCAAAAAGAATACAAATAAAACTCTCTGCACCACAGAGTTTTGTGAGAGTCCCAGCATGAAAAATTCTGTGATGTTTTGTGGACTATCCATGAATCCTGAGCTACAGCAAGGACTTGGGTGAAAAGAGATTCACCAAGAATAATTTGTTACTACCTCTTTCAAGAAATTTCAGAAAGTTGGGGGAAATCAGTGTTTGTGGAATAGCATTATCCCAAATCCTGAGTCTCAAAGCAGGAACCTGCTAATAATACAAATCATTTTCTGCATTTCTAATTCATAATTTTGACTAAGTACAAAGTTAAATAGCAGAAAAAATAAACAACTCCTAAAATATTACATCTCTTGCATTTTAACCAATGAGAATGAATTCTATTTTCTGATTGAAAATATCTTCATGGGGTTTTTGGTAACAAAAACTGTAATATATATAAATTTTAGTTTATTAAAAGTAACCACTAATAATTTCCCTAAATATTTTTTGTAGTTGCTTTTTTTAGAGTCACACTTTCAATTCCCAGTTGCACTTTGCAATGCACATGGGCATCTCCTCAAAAACTGACTTCCTCATCTCAATCCCAATTCAACTTGCCCCCCTTCTGTATTTCCTCCAACACCCACCACAAACATGGGAGTAAGTTATTCTTGACTTCTCCCTTTACTAATCCATCTCATAATTTCAAAATTCATCATCACACCTTGTCAAATCTTGTTCCTTAACTTTCATTCATGCATCCATCCATTTATTCCAGAACATTCTGAGCACCTACAATACCCCAATCATAGTTCTCAGCACTAGACTTAGATCAATTAACAAAATAATCTGATGGCTGCTCCGATAACACCACAGCTGTTCTCTCCTGCCTCATATCTCACCCAGACACCTGTTCAATCAGCCACACTACAGGCAGTAATATGTGTAAAATTCAATCATTCAATCATGTCATCATCCAGCTTAAAATCCTCCAAAAGCTCCTCTTGCTTCAAGATAAAATCTAAGCATTTTAATTCATTACAAATCCCTGGAACTTAATGACCTACCTGTGTTATCCATCCTTGTCCAATACCATATACTTTAGCCACACTAAACTATCCTAAATTCCGTGACCAAGTCACACTCACTAACACCTCGTTGCCATTCACATGCTATTCCCCCAGTCTTTCCCAATTCTACTGGCTTACTCCCATACATCTTCCAAAACTAGGCTCAGATATCATCTCTACAAGAAAGATGGTCTCTTCCCCCACCCCAAGCTAGATTACAAGGACTTGCACTGTATTCCTACAGCACCCAGATCACATCTCTATCCTAGCTCTTTGTACACACTCTTTGCACACACAGTATGTTGTACTGGTCTCCCTCTATCTTCTCACCCTATTCTTAAAGTATTTTGAAAGAGGATTTTTTGTGTTTAATATCCATATCGCCAGACCTAAAACAGTGGTCGATGACTATTTGCTAAATGAATTTTTAAAAAAAAGGAAACTTACAATACCTGGATCTAAGGAGGTTGATAAGTTCTTAACAGAATTAATTACTTTCTAACATAGTACACTGATAGAACCAATAGTATTCTTAACAAGTCGTCTGGTCTGTCCTTCTGCATCATCTGGTCCTCTTTCCCCTGCTTTGAATGATGCATATGTTTAATGCCTGGATAGGATTAAAGAAAGTTCCTGCAGGAGAAAAAAAAATGTTTCAAAATATTTTCTCTCATTTGGAAAACTCCCACAATCCTAAGTGAATGGGTTCAAAAAACAAATGAGGGATCTCATCCATTTATGGGCTATAGGAGACCTCTTGAAACATCACTTCCATTTTCTTTTCTAAAAAGTCACTAAGGTTAGTTTTTTGGTATGATAAGCTGGTATAAACATCTTTGGCTTTCAAGTGCTAACATTTTGATCTAGTGATGTTAAATAGCTTACCCAAGTCACAGAAGTTAGGTTGTGGGAGACTAACACAGATCCCATATCTCCTGACTCCCAGTTTGTCCCTCTCTACTACATCACACACTTCAGAACCCAGATTGCTCAGTCACAGAGTGGACAAAAGGAGCACAAGGAAAGACAAAACTGCTAGCTCTATATCTGTATCAGCAGATCCTCTTAGGAAAAGGGAGGGAAGTAATTACAAAGATAACTCATGCTGAGTAGACAGAGTTTAGAAAATATTTAAAGAGAAAAAAATTAGTACCACCATCCAAAAAAAAAAAATCTTGCCAACTTTCTAATATATTTTACTTCAATTCTTTCTCCTATCTACAGATTTTTGTTCACTTCTCATTGACACTTTTGAAATCACACCATATGTTTAATATATTATCCTGATGAATATAAACATTTCCCATATTATTATAAGGCATTGTTTTAATGATTGCCCATTATTCTGTCAAGTAAATGTACATAATAATAGTCATTTTTTTCCTAATACCACAAAAAAACCTCGTCGTGCATTAAGTTATCTCTGGGTCCCTAGGATAATTTCTCAGATTTATAGACTAAACAGAGGGATATAGATATTATAAAGACTTTTGATATCTCTCACCAAAAAACAGCAGTCCCCAATTTATATAACTGACACCAAAATATAGATTACCTCTTTCACCCCAGCTAATAATGGATATCAGGATTTATTTTTTGCTAAACTTCTTCTTACTTTTTTAAATTTGTATTTATTTGACCACTGGAATGTTGAACAACTTCCAATGTCTTACTATCAAATATATTTTTCCCTTTCAGAAATTGTTAAAGCTACAAAGAGTAACTTAGAGGGAAATGAGAAATAACTAATAGATGATCAGGGTTTCTAAATCTCAGCCCCTTAGATGCCAGCTCTTGAGTGTTCTGTCAAAGCAGTTGTTGAAACTGGTAGAGAAAACTTTAAGTCTGTATAATGGGGTCTCTTTGAATGTGTAACTCCGTGCTTTATTATGCACCATACTGTTTCATCATTACAATGAGATAGAAAAGTGGGTTTTATTTTCTCCTTTGCAGATGATAAAATTAAATATCAATAATTTTCTTCTCCTACATACTATCCCAGGGCTATAAGTGGTAGAACAGAATTTGACCACAGCTCCCTCTGATGTCAAACCCACACGGTATTCACCGTGCCATTCCCTGACGGAGAGTTTCTAGCTTCTTTCTCTCCCAAGCAGTACAACAGGAGTCAGAAGTCTGGGTTCTAGTGCTGACTCTTCTCTGAGGTAACTGTGAGACTTAGGAAAATCCCCTTCATCTTCCTGAGCCATAGTATTCCTCCCTGTCAAGTGAGGAGAGCTGGTGGTGTGGCCTAGTGCTATCAACAGTAACTGGCTGAGCCCATTAGTCAACACAACTTCTTCCTTGCATTCATGAGCAGCTGCACCCACTTTACAACCTCCCCATTATCTCAGACACTTCCTAATGGTGCGACCTTGAGCAGGTTTTTAACCTCTCTGTGCTTCATTTCCTCTTCCTTGTGCTATCCAGAGGAATAAAATCTGTTTTCACTTTTTCCCCTGTTATCACCACAGAAATGACCCTCAGGGACCTCTCTAGTCCAGATGACTCCTTTAGGGCCCTGGCCACCAACCCACTGATTCTGCCCATGCATCTCCAAGATTAGTTATCTCAGCTGTTACAAAGAATTCTAAACATTCTGCATTCACCTTGAAAGATGATCTATCACATGAGCAGACTTTCACATTCAAATTATTTGTGAGTCATATAAATTCAGAGTTTATCCCCAGGCCCCTGGATTCACAGTAGGTAAAGGTATGCCCACTCATTCATTCAATCAACAGATACTATGGTCTGGTGGCTGAGGAAGCAGAAGCTGAAGTCAGCTTGGTCCCCATTTCACAGAGTGTAGGGTATTCAGGCTGTGATAGAATAAGAATTGGATGAGCATGAAGAAGAGTCCTACCCCAAACTGGATGTGATTTAAGATGTAAACTACCCTTAACTTTTACAAATGCTGACCTCGGTTCCTCCAGCACCACCTACTGTCTGTCTCACACTACACAGATAAACTTAAGGTTCACCTGGGTCTCTTGCTGCCTCCACCTCATGGGCCCTGGTTGGTAGCACTCAGGCCTCCCCACCATCTGCTCCATCCTATCCCACCACCGGCCTCCCTCTGCTGCAGCACTTTCCCCACCCTATCCGAGCCCTCCTGACCTTATATCCCTTTTATTTCAAGTTCTACCATGTCCTTCTTACTATCTAAGCTCCAAGCCTGATATCCAAATTGTGGATTGGGCTTATAAATTTCAATGCACTGACCAGTGTTGATGCTTCCAGTCCTCAGCCATAATTGTGAGATTCATAAGCAGAGAAAGTCAAATGAATCACAAGAGTTGCTTTTACAGAATGCTGCAGAATCTCAGAAGATGGTGCTGGGCAACCGCCAGGTAAATCCAATGATCCTCACGGAGAAACATGGCTGAGAATATATTTCTGATTAAAAAGAAGCTCAGTCTTTTTAGGAAAAGAGCTTGAGAACACTCTGTATTATCTGTCTGCTTATATCCTTATGAAATAAAAAAGACTGGCTCAGGACAGGTGAAGAAATCATGTAAAAGAAGTTTATCTCAATTCCAAATGGGTGGAGGACTCACTATATGAGACTGGGACATTCCAAGTCTGGGTCTGATGGCATGTTCTTAACGCTACTGGATCCTGAGAGTTTAAAATAGCCATCAAATCATGGAGGTCTCAGCAGCTTCAAACAGCCAATTGGAGCCTCAGTTTCCTCATTTGCAAAATAGTGATGTCAATACTCTACTTGACTCTGAAGGGTGCTGCTAAGATCGGATAAGAAAGTAAATGAATAGACTGTGGACACTTTAAAGTTCTAAGAAAAAAGATGTAAGTTGTTGATTATTATTATTATTTGTGTTTTCTTTTCTCGATTCAAACCCTAATACCAAGTAAAAGATAGGATTTTGGTAACTTTAATCAAAATTCAGAAAAGAGAAAGATAAAATCAGGATCATTACCAAGAATCAAATGGGTTATTCCATTGTCTTTTTGCATGAAAAAATAGAAAATTTGAATTTAACAGAAAAGATATCAACACCGAGAGAAAACTTACTTGTACAGCCAAG